TTGTTCGCGAAAAAAATATGTAGAAAAAAAACTTCTTACCTTCTTACCAAAAATTTCCTTCTTATTTGATATTGACTCTATATATCCCTATAAATTTTATAAACTTAGATATATACTTAAATACTTAATTTAATCATATTTAATATATTAAAAAAATAAAAACATCGTTTTTATATTGATTTTTTATTATTAAGAAAATAATTAACATATAACATTACAATAGTACACTTCTCTCACATTGTTATTCTCGAACTACTACATAATGAATCATTACAAAATATTGATACTCATATTGAAATTAGTTTTTCAATGAATTTATTTGTAACCGAAGAATTAGAGGAAAAACAAAATTAGTTAGAAGAGAATAATTATAGTTCTCCTATATCAATTGTAGGAGATGAAATATATTGTTTGTCAAACAATTATTAAATATGCAATCAACATGCCAATGCAAGACTAACCCACTTGGTAAAGGTTTTGCTTCTGAGATTTGAGGCCTCGAGTGCTAACCTTGGCGTGAATAATTTCATGATACTAACTTCTAACGACTAACCACCGTCGTTCAAAAAAATATATGCAATCAACAGGTTTTGCTAATCGATTATACAAAATATGAAGTGATAAATAATAAATAAGGAGATCGACTATGAGATAGATTCCAAATGAGTATTTTAGTAATTCAGTTATAATCTAATTTGAAGATATTGATTTTAATTTTTAAATACAAAAATATGGTTACAATAAGTATCTGGGTATATATGCAATGTTTTAAAATATGGTTTTCTAGTTAAACCGGTCTAATGAATGATTCACGGTTGAACCAATTTAACCGACAATATACATCTGGCAGTGATGTCTATCGACCTTCGAGTTGTGTACACTTTGGATAATTTGATCGATCGAGCTATTCAATTTTCTTTAGAAATGGATTGTTTTTTTAATTAGATAAGTAAAATTCAACCATCCAAGTCTAATAAACTGGTTCAAGCGATTTTTTACCGGTTTACCTTAGTTTTTGAAGAAACCGTCCGGTTCAATCCGGTCTAGAACTTAACATAAACCAGTCGTTGTTGAACCGCTTTCGTCCCCGGTTCCCAGTCCGACCGGTTCAACCGGTCGGTTCAAACCTTTTAAAACATTGTATATATGCGAGTTTATAGGTTTTATAGATATGCATGTAACTTGAAGTTTTACAAAGATATATAGACGTAATTCTAAAAGTTTCTATGGATATAGATGATTTTCATATATAAAAAAGCTAAGAAAATGTGCTTATTTTTATAAATTATTTCCAACCAAAAAAGAAATTATTTGGATGAATACCCTCTAAAAAATGTTAAATAAGAATATATCTTTATATAATGCAAAGATGCAATTAACTCTCAATCGGAAAATATGGTAAGCAATAAATACAATTATTACAGATCATTTTCAGTGGAAGTATATAGGGAAATAAATTTCTTTATTAACGAAGTACATATTACTTATTATAACTTAATGTTTACAATATTATTAGTACGTGATGTGGCATGAGCATCAACCTTTTTGCCACAAAATATTTTGATTTGGAAAATCAGTTTTTATCTTTTTATTTTGAAAACTAAAGAAAATGAGCCAAACTGAATTATCATGTAAAACATGGATAGAAATAACATGAAATTAATTATTTTTCTTTAATTTGGAATAAATAAAATATAATACATAATGCTGACTTTTTTCACATAACAAACATTGTCGAAGACGTGATGTTCATCCACTTTTATATTAATGTCCGCTAAAATCTTAAATTTTCACATGTCTTCTCTTTCTGCAACTCTTTCTTGACTTCTTGTTTTCTTCTTCCTCTGTTATATAAGCACACAAACTCATCCTCGTTTTCGATTTATCCCCGTGATCTCACCGTTTTTTCGCCCTAATTCCGGCTTCGATTTACACTTTCGATGTCATTTTCTGTGTTGAATTTTGGGGTTTTTGATTAGCTTTCAATCCTCGCGACTCTTTGCCGGATTTTATTTTTTCAATCGGGTTTTCTTGGAGTGAAAGGTGGGTTTGAAAACGTTGATACTTTAATCCATCTATTGCAGAGAGTTTCGCCGGAGTCCGCAGTTTCCGGTGACATTCGGTCACCGACAATAGCGGATTTTCTCGATTTGACAAGAGTCTGTTGTTTTAGTCAAGAGAAACAGTAATTTGATGAGAAAATTACATTAAATATAGAAATTCTTACCATTTTCCTCCTTTAAATTATACTTGTTCGAATCAAGATATTAATCTCTCTCTCTCTCTCTCTCTCTCTCTCTCTCTCTCTCTCAAAACAGGGGAAATCCCGAAAACATCTCTTCTTCTTCGATTTCATTTTCATTCCCTTGTTGGTCATCGTCGTTTTTCTCCCTGTCTTCTTCGTAAGGAGGGATTCGTCTGTTTTTTACAGGGTAGGAGAGAGAAACATAAAACCTCTAGAAATCTCTCATCCGCCCTTCCTTTCTCTCTCTAGAAATGGTTTCAGAGAAAAGATCCAACCTTGAATGTTTCCTGGATTCCACAACCCCTGTTGTTCCATCCCAATTCCTCTCCAAGGTACGTCTCTCTTCGTCAATCCATTAAAAAACCCAATTCGTTTTTACTTATTCGTTCTTGTGTTTGATTTGTAGAGTGAGATTAGGAACCTTAATAAGCTATGGCATCCATGGGAAAGGGAGAGAGTTGAATTCTTCACGTTGGAAGATCTTTGGAATTGTTTCGATGAATGGAGTGCGTATGGCGCCGGAGTTCCGATCAACGTCGACGACGCCGGAGATGAAACTATTGTTCAGTATTATGTTCCTTACCTCTCCGCCATTCAAATCTTTACAAGCAATTCTTCTTTGAACTGTCAAAGGTATTTCTTTCATAAAACGAAACTTTCTTCAAACATTATGATCAATAATTACTTGACAACATAATTTTTTACAGGGAAGAAACAGATTCCGAAACCAGGGATTCATTTAGCGATTCGTTGAGTGAGGAGAGCGAGAGCGAGAAGGTGTCAAGGTGGGATGGATGTTCTTCGGATGAATGTGTGTTTGATCAAGAAACATCTTCTCATTTGAACGATCGATTGGGTCATCTTTACTTCCAATACTTCGATAGATCAACTCCTTACGGAAGAGTCCCTCTCATGGACAAGGTATTCATTTGTTTCTTTTTTGGGTATAAATTATTTACCCTGTGAAATACCAATCAATGTGTAAAAAAGTAAAAAAAAAATCTATTCAAAATGATAGGAACTTTACCATTTTTGTGTTCTGTTTTTGGACTTGTTGTCAAGTAAATGACTATTTTGTCCTCGCGTGCATGATGCCAAGTAAGATTGAAGAACCATAGTTTGCTACTTTGGGACGCACACTGTTTTGTTTTGACGCGTTGCTTGTAGTGGTTGATGAAGACATGAAGTGCGAGAGAGTTCCCGTGGATTGTATTTTATAAAATACCCCCTCTAATATGTTGAGAGTTCCATTTAACCATCTTTTAAAATTCTTTTTGCAAAACAGGTATGTGCGTTATCTAAAAGATACCCTGGATTGATGTCGCTGAGGAGTGTTGATCTTTCACCAGCTACTTGGATGGCCGTCGCTTGGTATATTTTGTCTCTTATACTATTTTTGTGAAAACACTAAAAATCCATAACAATATAGTTTCTGTATACACTCAAAGATAATATATACTTTTTAATTTTCTCTACTAGTTGATGTTATTTTTGTTAAACAACAATTATTGGGTTTTGTTTTGTTGTCTTTTTTTATGTTTAACTTATTCATAATTAATTTAGCTTGTTCTATGTTTTAGTATTTTTAGTATATTATTTGTTTTTTTTTTTCATTTTTATTACCAATGATTTTTTTTATATATAAATCCTTTCAAATCATTAGATTAATAATTAAAACAATAGATTTACATAGGCTTAGCAGGTAACGGACGCTAAAAATACAAATCATCTCTGTAAATTTGCTATTTATAATACAAAATTTAATTTGGTTTTTTAATATAGGTACCCAATATATCATATTCCTATGGGGAGAACGATCAAGGACTTGTCAACATGTTTCTTGACATACCATACCTTATCTTCATCGTTTCAAGGTACAAATATTAATTGGTCACATATTGATTGTGTTATTAGTTATAAAAACTTTAGGTTCTCATAAAAAGCATATATGAACATGGATATATCTATGGATGTAGAGCTCGATGAAAATGGATTGTCAAAGAGAAAGAGAAAGGAAGGAATCTGTGTTCCAGCATTTGGATTAGCGACCTACAAGATGCAAGGTGACGTCTGGATTTCAAGTAAACAGGATCAAGAAAAAGTTGTTTCATTTGTGAGTGTTGCTGATTCATGGTTGAGACAGTTGGGTGTCCAACACCATGATTTTAATCATTTTATGGGGAATCGCCGTGGTTGAAGAGACATTATTGTGGGCTTTTTGGCTTTGTTTAATGGGATTTTGCCATTTGGATCAAGTTTTTGCCTTTTACGGCTAACCCCGTCGTTATCCTATGGGTTTGTGAGAACTTTTGAGGAGAGAGAGGAGGATTGTGTATATTGAAGAATCCGATGAGCTTCCGGAGGTTTTATGTTGTTTAATGTTTTGAAACCTATATGCTCCGAATTTTAAACCCGATCTTTTTAGTTATCATGTTATTTTGACAAGAGTAATTGTTTGGTTTATAGTTTTTGGGTGTTGCTCAATTGACATCCCTTATACACCCTATAAACATTTTTATTAAAAGTTAACCTATAATAAAGTAGACAAAATAACTTTTTCAAAAAACAATGCAAATTCAACTAATAAAAAAATCTTAAAAATCAAATAAGGTGTTTAAATGGAAATTTGGAGTGTCTTTTTAGCCGACCCGTAGTTTTTTTATAAACAAAATATAATTTTAATAAATGTTAGTAAAAAAAATATGAAAACGGTAAAAATTCGAGATACCCTAAGTTATATAATAGATATTTGATATTGAATTAAAATAATTTTAGGTAACTAAGTAAAAAATTCATTACACGAGGAGGTCATGGTGATACATTTGAAGGCCAATTTGGTTCACATAATGTTGTTTTTGATGGAGTTGAAATTCAGATGAGTTTGATCGAGGGCTATAGTCTTCTTATTTGAGTTTCATGTTTGAAGACCCGTTTATGATAAAGGTAAAACTTAGGTCAGTCGCAAACCGATGTTTCCATAGATCTTGCTCCGCCACCCAAGTTAAAGATGTCTTGTTCGAGAAAGTATATAAGGATTAAGAGTGAATCATTATTTAGTAATACTTTCTATGGAAGATATATTTGTAGCATTTGAGGGGGACAATGTTTGTTACCTTGTACTATTTATGTCTCTTAATCGTTTTGCAAATGATTGTGAGTACCGTATAATCCATACCGGAATTAGTCAAGATGCTTTTGGCGCCTCAACATTACTTTGGGCTCAAGTATGCCTTCACTTGGTTCAACCTTGTTCTAGCTATTTGCTCATTCCTACTTGACTTGGTTATGAATATAGGTTGGCTAGACTGATGCACATGCATTGGTCTTATTAGGGTGGTAATATATATATATATATATATATATATATATATATATATATATATATATATATATATATATATATGGGAGATCAATAGAAAATGTATATTAGGGTTAACAGGTAATTACTAATCATGACATATGTCCATTTTAAATTACAAAAATCATCATTATAATTCGGTTTAAATTGCACATTTAATCCTTAAACATTAACCCTTCAATTTTGTTAGAAACTAAGTCGAGTAAGACTTGGAGACCAAGTAAGAATGAGATTTTAAGCAAGTCGGTTTTAGAGTCTTGATCTTGTTCTACAAGTCGGTAGAATGTAGGTCTATGTATACATTGTTTTTAGATTGAGTTATGATCATTGAGAGACATTGTAAACATTGTGAGTTTTGAGTGATTTTCTCATAATAATCAAAGAGTTATTTTGGTTAATTGTGTTTACATATTCTGAACTTGAATTGGTATCAGAGCTTTGCTTTGAAATCAAAAAGAAACTTACCTGTTGAACAAGGTGGTCGACACGGCAGGAGATGAAGGGACTTCAGGCAGTGCTCCGGTGAGGGAGAAGGAAATCGGAGCCACTTCTGTACACTATCTGATGCTCACGCCCACCAATTACACTGTGTGGGCTATGAGGATGAAGGTGGTGCTGCGAATCCATAAAGCCTGGACCGTGATTGATCCAGGAACCGACTCCAATGAGGAGAAGGACTGCCTCTCCATAGGGCTGCTCTATCAAGCCTTGCCGAAAAACCTAATCATGCAAATCGGAGATCAGGATTCGGTAAAGAAGCTTTGGGTGCAGTTAAATCAAGAAACGTAAGAGATGATAGAGTGAAAGACGCACGATTACAAACCTTAATGTCAGAATTTGATCGGCTCAAGATGTCGGAGTCCGAATCAATTGATTCATACGCCGGAAAGTTGTCCGGTATCTCCTCGTAATCAGCAGCCTCGGAGAAACCATTGACGTTTGGTTTACGGGGTTAACATACATTCAAGTAGTTTTATATAAAGATAAAACTTCTTAACACTACTTTACAATACAACATTACTTACATTTTTAGTCTTGGGTTTAAGACTTACAGCTCATTTATAAAGAAAATATTGGATTTTCTAGAAGTATACACTACCATTTTACACGAAACAGTTACAAATTCTTCTCATACAAAACGCTTATGAACTCACCAACTAATTGCTGACACTTTTCAAAATCACTTGTATTCTTAGGAAATCAGTAAACAGGTAATCAAAAAGTTGTTGGAGGATGGGGCGTCGCCGCATCATGTTATTCATTTTTGCTATTCACATTTGATGTCAAGAAAACAATGTCTTGAGTACAATGTAAACATTTATAAATATTTAATACAATGGTTGTAATGTTTTGATCGCTATTATTCAATTGTTATGATACTATACATGAAAGTCATCCACCCCAGACGTTTCCGCCGTTCTGGTTTGGGGGTGTGACACAGGTACAAATATGAACATGATCAAAAGGTTCAAAGTAGAGATGTCCAAGAATTTTGAGATGTCGGATCTTGGAAGATTGACTTATTACCTCGGCATTGAAGTTAAGCAATAGGAATTGGGGATTACTATAAACCAAGAAGCGTATGCTCGACACATTCTAAAAGAAGTCGGTTTACATGATTGCAATCCAACCCACATTCCCATGGACCCGAGAAGTAAATTATCGAAGTACGAAGATGAACCCGAAATCGACCGAACACAATATCGAAAGGTGGTAGGATGTCTTAGATATCTCTTGCAAACAAGACCCGATATGGCATATGCGGTTGGAGTCGTTAGCCGATACATGCAAAGTCCAAGAGAATCACATGGATGTGCAATCAAGCATATCCTTTGTTACTTATGGGGAATAACGGGATACAAAATCAAGTACGAGAGAATGGGACAAAACCGACTCATTCGTTATAGTGATAGTAGTCACAATGTTGACCCGGATGACGGAAAAAGCACAACCAGTCACATTTTCTACTACGGGTCATCTCCGATAACATGGTGTTCACAAAAGCAAGATGTCGTTGCTTTATCATATTGCGAGGCAGAGTTCATGGCAGTCAAGCCGACTGCTTGTCAAGCAATATGGCTTCAATATTTGCTCGGAGAAATCATGAATAAAGTGCAAGAGAAAGTGGTTCTAAGAGTTGATAACAAGTCGACTATCGAACTATATCACACCCCCATACCGGAACGGCGGAAACGTTCGGGGGCGGAGGACGTCATGTGTAGTATCACAACAATTGAATAATAGTAATCAAAGCAACAACAACCATTGTATTGATAATATAGTGTTTACATTGTATTTGAATCACATATGATTGACTCCATAAGTAAATGGTAAAATAAAGACTTGAAGCTACCATGCTCCGTTTTCTAGAAACTGCGTGAGTACTTGTTTACTAGTGTCCTGAGAATACAAGTGGTTTTGAAAGAGTGTCAACATTAAATTTGGTGAGTTCATAAGAATTTGTTTTGAGAACGCATGTCCTTTGTTCCTTGAAAACCTTAATATGTTCTTCCAGAAATTCTTATATTTTCCGAAGTGATGTAAAGTAATAAATGTATCCCATGATAGTTCCAGAAAATACAATATTTTCTATAGTGAATGTAATGAAGTCATGTGCATTCCTTGAAAAATGTATGATGTAGTGGCGCACTTATTACTAGAAAATAGTGTATTGTATCTATATATGTACGAATACCCTTGTATGTATGTATGTTACCGTTAGTTGTAGCGTAGAGTAGTGTATCCTTGTAGTGTTTGTATGAAAACCTTGTATGAATATCTGGATACCCCACATGTAGTGTAAAATAGTGTACCATAGAGTACTATAATTTTATTTAAATAATATAAAACCAATGAAGTTATATTAATCCCGTAAACATGTGTGTTAGAATACTGTTGTGAGTTTCATATACATACTTGATATGACCTAGTGACCTCTACGACGTTCTTCAAGCGTCCGGACGAAATGACATTTGTTACCCCTGAACTTCCGTTCCAATTGTAGCTAGCAGTCGGGGCATGGGATTGTCAGTTCCCATATAGATCTATACACAAATCTCACGCTCTCCCTCCAGGAGACTCTGGTTATACTTTATAGGATTTAGAAACCGTACCCTGAGGGGTACAATGAAGTAGTGCCCCACAACCCTGTATTAACTAGTTTACGTATAGCGTAATGTAGTGGCCTTTTCTGGTATTTGAGTATGTATGTATAACCTTGTAGTAATGTACTTATAATATAAAATAATTATATTTAAATAATTATTTAGTAGTGTGTTCTTGTAACAATGTATTAGAGTAGTGCTTCCCAAACTATACCTATTATAGTTTGAATAGGTGTTTTGATTCCGTGTATTGTTCTTAGCAAAGTAACGTAGAAATTTCAAAACTATATCAATTATAGTTTATTTGTAATGTTTTGTAATGCCCTGAAATCGTAATGTAATGTACTGAAAACGTTTGCAATTTAATTGTATAAAAGTTGAATACCCTTATGCTCGACATATTACAAGAGGTTAAAATATATAAAATATTTTTAGAAAGTGTAGTGAATACTCGTTATGAAACAATTGCAAAGGTTTTTGAAATATTTAAAATATTTGTATAACACAATAGACCTTGTGTTTTACTTGTATTCCCCTAAAAATATTAAAAACATTTAAAAATGTAGGGGTATGAACTCACCTTAAATGTGCGTTAACTTCGAAGTAGCGAGTGGTAGAGACGATCCCCAAGTAAGCGTAAGCGCTAAAAACGTTACACTAAAATAATTGCATTCGTCGTCGTATTTCAATTAATAATAAATTAATTTAAATAGTGTTTTGAATAATTAATTAAGTAAATAAGACTTAAAAAATTAATTTGAAGTGTTTGGAGTTGTTGAAGTATGAATTCGGTGGGAAAATTTGGGTTTTCGGTGAGTAAATAGGTGAGTTCGGTTAAGGCTTGATGAATTCGGTGGGGTAGTGTGTGTTCTTGGTGGGAAACTTGAAGATATGAAGGGACTTATGAAGATTTGAAGATGGGATGAAGATCTGGGTAAAATCTATGAAGATTGAGAGTGTTCTCGGATGATATTTGAGAGGAAAAT